GATTTTCTCGTTGCTTCCATTACAGTAGTAGTAGTAGTAGTAGTAGTAGTAGTAGTAGTAGTACTACATCCTTTTTAGCTTTGTGTACATATTAACGTCGGCTGAGCCAGTGCTTGTGAAAGGAAAGGAGCAGGCAAGACTTGTGCTTCTTTGGTGATATTTGTAAAAAAAAAAGTCCACATCACAATTAGCCATTTTAAATAGACATTGTTAATAGAATAAAAATGAGTTAATGTACACTCCATGATTTATTTTTTGTAATGGTCAATTAAAATACAGTTTTCAAAATAGAAGTTCTGATAAAAGATGGTGTTTGTATAAAATCTATTTTCATTAGTTTTTCATAGTGAAATGAGGACATATGATTACACTGTGAGTGCTTTGAACATGCAGAATTAAAAAGGGGGTTAGCGGTGTTTATTTAGAACAGCACGGCAAATTTTGTGTACCTACAGTTCTTTTTGTATTGATTTCTTTGTTGTAAAGTACATCATTTTTAACAGCTCTTTAGCTGAATTGAGCAAATGTAACCTTCACTTTTCTTGGAATGAAGCAAGGTATAAAAAATGTTTGGAGTGTGTCTGCAAGCCATGAGCAGGAACATTTCTTGAAATGGAGCAGTTTGTTTGTTTGTTGGCATGTTATAAATGTTCTCAGTGGGGATGGGGGCAGGGCGGTATTCAGCAGGACCACTGTCTAGCATGGGACAGTTGTCCGGGCCATTAAGCTACACCGGGATGCAGCTTTGTTCGACAAATGAAAGAATTCATTAGTTTACAACACTTTGTTCAGAAAGCACCGAGCTGTACGTAATGAGGAGAAAAATGTGCACTTGAGAAAAGTCTTTTGGTATGAATAGTTTCCAACTATTAGAGCTTTCAATGGGAAAGTTATTCCTCTTTGACACAGTTCTGTTACAGTTTTCCAAAACAGAGCTGCATTGGCAGTATCTCTCAGGAAAACTGTCGCAAGCAGGTGCTGTAGACATTAGGACACAAGATGTGAGAGAGTTGGACATTTTCGTTCCTCAAAGAGCTGAGAATGTTGAGAGAAATGTTTAGAATTTAATTCACCGGGATCCTACAGAAAAGAATCAGCTTGATGATTTTCTTGGATAAAACGCAGTAAGCTTCTAACAACTGGGAAGCTTTGTAATCTTTTTTTCAACATTTTATTTTGTGTGTCTGGACAGTCTTGGGTCAGAATGTAAGCAACATTCCTTCTGAATTCTTCAGGTTTTCTGAAGATCACACTGCCCTGCAAATACTGCTCAATTACCACAGAGCTGGAAACCGTTTAAAGAATTCTGATGTGTATCCATTATATGGTGTGCAGCAAGGTTCTGAATAAACTCTTGAGGTCATAGTCATTGTTAGGCTTTCACATATATAAAAAACAAACTGCCGCTATGAAGATGAACACTGCATTGTTCATGAAAAACTTTGAGATGGCTAGGCCACTCTGTGGCTCGTTTCATGGTGGGTGTCCGGTTTTGTTTCATATACAGTATAATTGTTGGCAATTGCAGTGGAATGCGGAGGCAGGAAAGCTTGCCTGTATTTTATTCGGCAGAGAGATGCCTCCCAATAGCTGTCCAGGAAGGTGTGTGTTACTATGACATGTAGGGCGAGTCTGCTGACTCTGCTCAGTTCGTGGATAAAAGGGCAAAGCAGGGGTTTGTAATTATTCACCTGCCTCAACCATCAGAGCACAGTAACCAGGGAAGCTGGATGGATCCCAGTTAAATGAAGCTATGAACAATGTCACATTCACACACAGCATGTCTAATCTATTCATGTGAGAAGTTCAAATGGTGATTCACAGCTGCAGATTTCCAAATTAATAGATTAATAAACTTAAATCTCAGGATTCAGGGTGGTCAGTATTATGCTACACCTTTACTGTATTAAAACATTTTGGAAAGAAAATAGGAAATACTTGATTACTTTATTAGGAGGTAGACCTTTTCTGTTATTGTCTGGCATAATCTTTAGGACAAACAGCTTGATGAACAGAACCTCTCGGTTCCTTTCAGGTTCATTTTCATCAGTTATCAAAAATTGATTTATAGTGCATATCAAAGTTTCTTTTTAATCTTATACCTTTTTTCCCCTGAAGGCTTATGTATAGTACTGTATATTCATTTTGTCCATGAAGGATAATTTGCCAGTATTTTATAAAGGCTTTTGCCTTGTGCCTTGATCTACAGTATGTGTATTCTGCTTATTGGTAATTTCAGCAGTACCTATTCAATATGTTATGATCTGTTGGCAGAGGACTATAATACAGTATTTCATTCATAGAAAAAAAAGCCATACTGCTTTTGTTATATACTGTAAATGATGAGGTCTTCAACACAGTCCTTAAGATTTGGTTTGTCAGATGGATGATAGCCTTCCTGTCACACCATTTATGTTGTTGAGTTAGTGTCACTTTATCACAATGCCAGTGCATTGTCTTTACTTACAGGCTTGGAGATAAATCCTATCCCTTTAAGCTCTGTTTTTTTAGCCCGTAGGCTGGACTTATTAGAAGAGTTGTTAAGAGTGCATTCAGTGTAACATCTGCACATCAATACACTGTATAGCAGGCATATGATACAAGATGTCTGAATTTTGTTTGGTCCCCTTTTTGGTTATCAAATCTGTTAAGCATCTTGACGTCTTGTGACATTTAAATTACATGTATTGCAAGTTGTCTAATGGGACGTGCAGCCTGGGCTCTTGCAATAATAACCCTGGGCTATTGGTCATGTGGGGTATCGAAGGCAAGGATATGCTAGCTAAGCATTTCTTTTCTCTTGTTTTGTATTGCACACCTTTAGCCAATTAGTGGCAATACAGCAGGCTCCATGTAAATAATGTTTACACATTAGAAGCATGCGTTGGAGCAAGCTGAAAATAGCTACAATATGTTGAAATGTGTTATGTGGGCAAAGCCGAGATTAAAGCAGCAGTAGAAGGGGGGGGGGGGAAGTCAAATAATTTGTTGTTTTATCTCGTTCCAGAAATGAAATTTGTTTCATTTTTCATTGTTGGCAAGGTGTTTGTGTAAAACGCCCTGGGACAGGGCACTATAAAGTTATTCATTAAAATCTAAACACAGAGGGGTGGCCCAGACAAGACTTTTTGCTGCCTTTTGCACTCAATATGTTTCTGAGCTGCACTTAATTATTGTCTGGGATTAAGGCCTGCTTCGCTGAGTATAAAACAATCTTGCACAGCATGAAGTGCTACACTAAAGCGAGCTTGCCCTGCAGCTCTCAGCAAAAACTGCTGAGTTTCCTCTATTCTTAAATGCTCGTGACAGTTCCACTAACAAGGAACATCTTTGACGTCTACCAAAAGATCTCGGTGCACTGAGAACAGGTAGCATTTGAGTCTTTGATATGCAGTCTCATACCAGCAGCTCTCTCTCCTGAATCCACAGTGGATTGGAAAATCCATCTTTTGTTCTGAGTGACTGACGGGCAGAATTTGTCAAGCACAATGTGTTTAACAACAGTAATCGGAATGGTCCATTAGCTATTGTCTTATGTCATTTACAGCAACATGAATCTTGAAAGGGTGATGTGAACAAAAAAGCCTTAATGTCCTAACAGTTTTAGTTGTTCCTAATGCTGCTGAAAGTTTGGAGTTCAGCTGTAATTAGAATGCTGAAATTATCTAAAGTAAAACTAGCAATAGAGTTTATTTTTGTTGTTGGCGTACAAGTCCTTTGAACTAAGGAACACTTCTATTATAGCGTATGTAAACTACATTTTTCATCTCAACCACAAGTAGCCTTCATTAATAGACAAGAATTCGTATCTAATCCAACTAGAATTTCTAAGACACCAACTAATATACTGTAAACCTGCCTTTGGTTTATATTAGCATTCTCTTTTATAACAGATGTTCATCTTAAATCTTTGCCTCATTTCATGCTGTTTAAATAACATGAGAAAATGTCACGAAAACTGCTGCACACATCCTGAATAGTACATAACACTGTGTACATGTAGCTTCCAAAATAGTCAGCTTTTTCCTGTGTGACTTCATACTGGAATGGGCAGAGTTTGGCCATGTGGAGGAGTTATTTGTGCTAAACTAACCCACTTGGTTTGAATTTAATCTTTGTATTTCATATTTTTCTGTATTGGAAAAGTGCTTTTTCCACTAATTAGTTTTGTTGAAATGTATAGCTTCGTATTGATTCTTTAATTTGTAGTAGTAGGAAAAATCAGAACATTTGCAAAGCTATCTCATGTTTTCTTCACTTACATCTTAAAGAGCATGTGGATGTGAGATGAAAAGAACCTAGAAATATTCCTTACTAATTTCAAAGATTTTTAATCCTAAAATTAAGGTACTCTGTGCTCTGTACAGGTGTTCTGTGCGTCTCAGCCAGTGAAGGTACTGATTTGGAGCAGCTTGCCCCAGTTCAAGCCTAGTCTCCTGTGTGTCATTAGCGGAGTGACTGGGAATCCCCATGCATATGGAGCACATTTTCCAAGCAGCATCAGGGTTGGATTAAGCCTGAGAGGTTGCCAGCATGTTCTCCGCTTGCTACACAACAATCCCTGCAATGCAATGCAATGGCCTTCTGTCCTGCAATTGCAGCTCCATTTCCTGCAGAGATGTAGAGTTTGCAGTGTAACATACAGTAGATAACAGTGGGTGCATCAGAAGCATTTGCTATCCCTGTTCTACTTGTACTGGCACAGGCATCCTAATGCTGGTGTTGATTGACCGTTCTAAAATCAAAGCCAATTTTCAATTTGACATGAACACAAGAATATTTGTTATCCTTACACCATGGTGTGATGGGAGAGCCCCTGTTGGACACTTTTCCCACCAGTATTGTTAAACAGACACAGCAGCCTCTAGAATTCCCCTGTGCTGCACAAATGCAAGCTGACATTGAGTTTATCGGGATGAACAGTTCAAAGAAAGATCACAGGCTTGAAGCTAAATCTGTTTTAGTGTTTAATTTTTCCCTGTGTCTTTCTGTGTTCCTAGGTGTCGGCTCTAATGAGGTGATAGTAGATCCCCGAGTGACAGCCGTGTTGGGGAAGAACATCACGCTGATGTGCACGGTGGAGGTGGGCCGGAACCTGAGCTTGACACAGACCTCCTGGGAGAGGAAGCACAACGGGAGCACCCTCACGCTAGCCGTCTTCAATCCCATCTACGGCATCTCGATTGCAGAAGACTACAAGAAGAGGCTGTTCTTCAAGGACCCCTCCAATGAAGATGCCACCATTGTGTTGGAGGATGTGGGGTTTGCTGACACTGGAGTGTACACCTGCAAGGTGGCAACCTTTCCTCTGGGCAACACGCAGGCCTCCACCATGGTCACTGTGATGGGTATGTACGTTACAGCTTCATAACAATTCATGCATTTCTAATCCGCTTCTCTTAATTAGTTATTTTATCTTAATCCTAATCTGTTATCAAGATCTTTGTAAATTGTGTACCCATTGAAGTAATATTGAACATTAACTGAGCAACAGTAGTCGCAGGACAGAGACAGTTGTTTGTGACATCTGAAGACAACAGCTGCTTCTCCTTTGAAACTTGTGAATCAGTCTGCTTCTTCTCAGCTTTTTTTATTAACAACAGAACTCTGTAGGATTGGTGGAGAGCTCTCATTGATAGTGCCTCACTCAGCCTTGCGGAGTCCCCAAGTCAGACCCAGGTTTCCCTGACTTTGGCCCGACCATCTGTATACCATCTCTCAGAATGTGCCAACCACAGTGGACAGAAGGCCTTGTCCAGTTTGAGGCCAGTAATGTCCAGGTTAAAGGACCCTGTCCACCCTGTGAGCCAGAGGTTGTGAACAGATTAGCTGATCAGAGCCTTCCCAGACTTTTATTTTCTGCAGAAACATAGAAGTCCAAAAAAGAACATTTTTTTTATAGCTTAGGTCACAGCAGCAAGCCAAATATTAAAATACCAGTTGTGTTTAGAATTTGGGTGGATGGATCTTCTTAAATGACCCAGTCAAAGTTCTGGCTTGAATCCTACAGATAATCTGTATAAAGATTTGAAAATTGCTGTCCATAACAGATCTACAAAAAACAACCTGAGAGAGCTTAAGGCAAATCTGCCAAGAAAAATGGGCATACCTGTACATTATATCAAGCCAGTGTGCAAAGTTAGTAATGAGTTAAGCAAAAAGACTTGTGGCTGTGATTGCTCCCAGAGGTGTTTCAAACAAACAATGAGTTTGTGCTTCACTTTCAGTATGCAGGTTTTGAAATTCGAAACGTGTTTTTGTAGTTTCCAAAAACAGGACACTATACAAATATTGAAAAATACTTTTGCAAGGAAGTGTCTGTGTAATACAGTTGTAACCTGCTATAACTGATCTGTATTCATGTGAAATTTCACGCACAGTGCAGTCTGACCACTCCAGATGTGTGGTGGACAGAGAGAGAAAAGGGGAAGCATGAACAGCATTTTCAATCTATATTGTGTAGATGGCTGAATGAGAAAGAAAACCTACACTAAAGGTGTTGAAACGGGCTTTTACTGGCTTCATTTCTATAAGAACGTCATCTAGGAACCCCAGTGTGACACAATATTGAGAACAGTCAGAGAAACTAAAAAAAACACTTACTGTAGGACCTCAAACTGATTTTAAAGGTTGGGGTGGTTGTGACACTATAAGAAACACTATATTAGCTGTTTCTACAAGTGGGCAAAGCATGCATCCTGAGGATCATTCCTAGAACAGAATTAAAAGTTGTACTGTTTATTTTGTGAAGATGAAAATGAGTTCATAATTTAAAAGTCCTTTGATGCATTTGCTGCACTAAAGGGCTAACCACTTTGTCTAATTCAAGGTCATGGGGGAGCCAGAGCCCATCCTGGCAAGCAGTGGTCACAAGGAAGGATATACCCTGAAAGGAATGCCAGTCCATAGCAGGGCACTTTTAAGATAATTTCTTATTCTTAAGCCACTCCAATGTAGCTGTGCTTTAGATCATGTCCTGCTGGAAGTCAGCAGACTGAAACAACTAGATTTCCTCTAGTATTTGATAGTACTGTTTATCTTCAGTGCTTCTAGTACCTGTAACACTTGTGCCTGTTCTGTGCCAATTAAACAGATCACTGCCTGTCCACAGCCTGAGCCAAGTGGCCAACTTCTTCCTTTGTGAACACTTAAGTGAAATACTCATTTAATAATCAGCCATTTCCTTTTCATTGTCTGGAAGTTCTCATTATTCCCAATATCTTTACTTCATCCTTTCAAGGAATCGATATTCCCACCATATCCTTCAAGATGAAGCTTTAGTGTCTCCATAAGTAACTACTAAAGCAGTTTAGACTAGAGCTAGGGGCCATGGCCTGTATGTTGGACTGCAGGAAGAAACAGTTCCTGCATGCCCCTGACGAATGAAAATTATGTCTAAATGAGTGGATCATGATTTAAGCACACTTTAATGTGTTCTCTAATAGTAAAAGGCTACAGAGTACAAGTTCTTCAACAGCAATTGAAGCTATCTCTCATTGCATGCTTTATTTAAGGTTTTTAAATCCACTGATTCAGTGGATTTTGCAAGCAATGATGGTTGGAAAAGTCATTGCTTGCAAAGTCTTTACTACTTGAATGTGCTACATTGAAAGAGAGGAAAACAAGTCAGATTTTTAGAGGTTTCTTTATTTCACCTACACTTAAGCCACTGTCTGCGGAGAGAGGGTAAATTAGGTATTCAGCCTGTGAATCCTTATGTTCTGCTGCAATGAGAAGACACTAAATTGGTCAATAAATATTCATGACCTCTAGGTTGTTGGTGGAACAACCTCTACAGCAGTAAGCAGTTAGAGGGAATGTCACAATTGCAGTATTATGTGTGTTTTTGCTAGATTAATAATAACATTATTACTGTTACAAATAAGAGATGAAAAAAGGGTTGGAGATATCTTGTATATAGTCCGTTTCTGGAATACACAATACTTCTTATATTTAACAAACATTGCGGACTGTCCACCCTTGGTGCTATATAGTACAGACTGCAGAAAAAGTTGGATTTTAGGTGCCATTAGCCATGTCTGTCTGTGGATTATTTTCTTCCTCAGTTTTAAATTGTTTAACTTGTAAAACTAAAACACTTCTTCTCAATGTCCAGTAATGGTCCTGCTTAGTCTCTTTCCATCAGGTTTATTTTGTGTCCTCCATGCTGGCAACAGAAGTATCTGTATATTCCTGATTCTCTGAAAACACTTGCAGTCCTAGATGTCCAGTGATGGACTTAACAGTAAGAAAGGGTTGGAAGTAGTCCTGTATCGCAGATAAACTCTGGCTGACCACACTTTCCCTGAAAAACTACAGTTTGACAGAGGTGGAAGGGATGTGGCTGGATAGAGAGGGCCGCTGGCTCAAGGAGAGGGGAGCAGCATAGAGACGTTCAAATTTTTTCCAGATGTCTATGCTGTGAGCTGGCGAGTTTAATCTACAGATGCAGCCATTCAAAATGGGTGAGGTATTTCA